ATTTTAGGAGTCAAAATCGTGTAATCTGACACAGTGACTATCGTGATCGGCATTAGGCGTAATACTGTCAGGGGCAAAGATCATCATCTCAGTTTTATCGTTATTAAGTTGTAGAAAATTGACTGCCATCCATTTGTTAAAGGGGTCATATGATGCGATTTCAAGTTTTCCTTTCTCTTTGGAGTGTTACAAGCGGTTCGTGAATAGATAAGATCCCTAAAGTTGCAAAGACTAAAGTCTCAAACCCAAAGAGATATTCTTTATAAAAGTTAAGACTCGTCCACGCCTTCCTAAAATGCCTCGTTTAAACACGCCCCTACATGTCTACTGTTGCCTACATGTATTGCCGCCGCCGCCATGTCGTGGAGACGCTGTGTATTTTGTTGTGAAAACGAAACTACTTTGTTTGGCCTTCCAAAAGAGGACACAACTAGAAATCAGTAATTAAGTTGTATTTACAACACTGTTCCAGAACAGTTCACTTCATCGCACCAGGACACAGCAATACAATATGGTAAGGGGCGTAACATGCTTGAGGTATTCGGCCAATCACAACGCACTGGATAGCTAGCCAATCAGCGTACACCTCGCATTTCAGAACGATGAGCTTTGTAAAAATCGACGCGTTTCAGAAAGGTGGGGCATAGAGGAGAAACAATAATGTACAGTATGTGGAAAATAATGTGTTCTTAACCTTAAACTGCATAAACACATTTCATTACACCAAATACACACAATAATGTTCTTTTTTAGCAACGTCATATGACCCCTTTAATGGAGACTAGACAGTTCTGCAGAACAGACAGTTTATATAGACTATCAGGACTAAACTAAATATATAACTGAATGTCATCGGCATAGCAATGATAAGATATTATTTTAAAACTGTTAATAATCTTGCCAAGAGGAAGCATATACAGGCTAAACAACAGAAGGCCAAGCACAGAGCCTTGTGGCACACCACAGGACAAAGGAACAGAATCTGACATATAAGATCCTATAGACACAGAAAAACTCCTGTCATACAGATAGGAGGATAACCAATCCACAAATCGACCCAGAAATGCCCACTAGGGAATACAATCTATTAATCCAGATAGGAGGATAACCAATCCAAAGCCGACCCAGAAATGCCCACTAAGGAATACAATCTATTAATCAAAGTAAATAAAATACTGGCCAGCAAGTTTCCCCCATCTGATGAAAAATAAAATCAGCCCATCTGGTGAATATTCACTACAAAAGATAATGCAGATGGAACCAGGGTGTCCTTAAACCTTGCGCAAATGTACTCATTTAGGTACAATTCATGAAAACAGGACAACTCCCCGAAGAAAGCCTCATCTTTAATTAATACACTACAGTCCAGATGGAGTTAACTGTTCTTTTAGACCTGAAATAACATTCGTATTTCATTCGAATAATATTAATCCAAGATTTGCTTTAATCTCAGATGCTTTGAATGCACTCTGACCTTCCATTGGTCTCAAGATCAGATGATAATCAAGGTCATAATCAGTTAAACCTGCAGGACAACACACCGCTGGGGAACATCTGCTTTGTGGAGGACTATAACTACAACAATGCAGATTTGGTTCCTTTCCATTTACAGTATATGCATGTAAATATAGGTGTACATGCACTCAGTTGAACTACAGCACCATAAACGTCAACCTCAGATAACCTCACATTTATTTACAGCATCGGCACAGCATTCAAACAAGAAAAATGCATTTCACGGCCCTCGTAAAGAACCGGCTCGGTATCTCACAGACATGTGGGGTCTGTCAGTGGATCTGTGACAGCTGCATAAGCCTGCGCTAATTTTCCTACCTATAGCAAGCCAAGACATCTGCACCAAATGCTCGCTTGGCTTAATCAAACTGCTGACTTAGCATAGGGTGGAGTTTGTTATGGGAGCCGTGTGAGCTTTAAAAATAAAAAGAACACTTCTACTTTCCTATACTGCAGTCAATAGATTGCAGATAAAAGTACAGTTAGTTCAATAGGCTATGTAATACTGTCTTAAGGTTCTAGCCAGGTCATGTTTAATTAATTTTTTTAAACATGCATTTTCAATGTTTTATCAGCTTGTTTTCCAATGTGGTGATGATGGATACTAATTATACAATTATACTTATTCCAGAGATGGCTAAAAACAAAGCAAGAAAGACAAAATATGGTGATAGTATCACCTTTTTTAATACACATTCTTTGTCTTGAACCCACTAAAACTCTATAAAGTGAACTAAATCATTTCACAACAGTCTATGATGTAAAAGAAAACAACTGATTGTGGTCTTCCAGCTAGTGAATCAATCATTACCTCTACACACATTCATAAATGTTGGTATTATACACTGTAAAAAATGACTGTGAATTTAACGGTAAAAGACTGTAAAAATGCTACAGTAAAAACCTGTTAAATGGTTAACGGTAAATTCCCCTACTACAGATTAGACAAAACAGATTTCAGTACTTCAATAGGTTGGTATAGTAACATTATATCAGTTAATGAAATTACGGTATTTAACTGTAAATTTAAGTTAAAACCGTAAAACCTAAAATGTTGCTACCGTATTTTTTACGGTAAAATTCCGGCAACCACAGCTGCCGTTTTTTTACCGTCAATTTTATGGATTTTTTTTACAGTGTAGATATACACTACTATTCAAAAGTTTGAGATAGGTAAGTTTTTTTATGTTTTTGAGATAAGACTGCATTTATTTGATCATAAATACAGTAATATTGTGAAATATTTTTACAATTTAAAATAACTGTTTTCTATTGTAATATATTTTAAAATGTAATTTATTTCTGTGATGCATAGCCGAACTTCCAGCAATATTACTCCAGTCTTCAGTGTCACATGATCCTTCAGAAATCATTCCAATATGCTGATTTGCTGCTCAGAAACGTTTCTTATTATTATCAACTTTGAAAACAGTTGCTTAATATTTTTGTGGAAATTGTGATACATTTTTCCAGGATTCTTTGATGATGAATAGAAACTTCATCAAAGAACAGCATTTATTTGAAATAGAAATATTTTGTAACATTATAAATGCTTTTACTGTCACTTTTGAATCATTTAATGCATCCTTGCTGAATGAAAGTATTCAAATCTTAAAAAAACACAGAGACTTAATTTCCAATCCTCTCCTCCTCATTAGGACGACATTTTATGGCAACAGAGAGTTAGGAATTTAGTTCAGAGAACTCAAGCTTAACTAGTTAATCAGATTAGAAATAGGGATGCAACGATACCATTTTTTCAGAACTGGTCCGATACCAAAAATTCGTATCGGCCGACTCTTTAAAAAAAAAAAAAAAAAGGAAAAAGGGAATGTAGAATGTCTATACTTCTGTGTTCACCTGATCATCACTATTGTGTGTGTTAAACACAATCTGTGACAACTTCATTTTAATGAAAAATAACAAATGAAAAAATATATTATCATAATCTATGACAAAAAATACTATTATAAACTAGGTTAGTGGATAATTCAGCAGCAAAATTTATTCTAGAAAAATCATGGGTGCACAATAATTTTAGAAAAACATTAAACAACTAAACATTTAGTGAAACAACATTATTTAGTGGGCAACAAATAAAAGTTAATAAGTGTAGGACTAAATCTGGTAAAATGTTACACATTGCTCTTTGTATTGTTGTAAAATACATTCACAAAAAACAAGTAGCCTACAAATATATACTATAAAATTAAAAGACATTTCTTTTAAATGCATAGCTCAGTAATGAAGGCAGCAACATATGATAGAACAGAACAAAAAAGACTATTAATAATCTTTCATTGCACAAAAGTATAATACGAAAGGGTATGGCTCCAATACAGAGCGGCACAAAGCGCTTATACGCATCCCGTGCGCAGAATGATGTGCTTGAAGCAACACGGAGTCACAGCGTGCAGCAGTCGGAGTTGGATCGATCTCGTCAGACCGATACCCGATCCGTCAGAAAATGGCAGTATCGGAGCCAATACCGATACAGAGTATCGGATCGATGCATCCCTAATTACAAGCACCATGTGATGAGTAGAGGAAGGCTTTTCTCCTTTATATACATAGATAGTATTGCTGGAGTCCCACTTTATATAGTTTTGTAGCGTAAAACTGTAATCCATTTTCATTTCATGTATGAAACTTGAAAGAAATAATAGTTTTTCTAATGTTTGAAGAAGAAATCTGAAAAATTTGTGTATGACATTTGATGACTTGATTAAAAAAAATACTCTGGATGTGTACAGTGATGGTATAATGACACTTTTTATACCACACAACTGTATGATAATCCTTATTCAAACACAATGGCATTACCATGATGCTCCAAAGTAATTAAAAGAATACTGTGTTATTGCTATTGTGCATGTCTGAAAAAAACATGGCAAGAGTAGAATAATGCAGGTGCGTTCTACTATAAATCACAAGACCAGGTCCACTTTTCCACAGATAAAATAGACAAAGTAATTTTTATTCTTGGCCACTGCCCTAATTCAATCCATCTGGCTGGCAAAAATATCTAAATTAAGCTGCATTCTTGCTTTGGAGAGAGAACCGAGCCAAATTGTCTATGCAAAAGCTAGACTAACTCTCAGAAGTTTATAGGCCATGTCTGCAGCACACAGTCAAAATCTCTTTCAGATTCTGCACTTCCTGTTTGTACCACACCTAATTTCCTTCTGAGATCACTCATCTGTTATCAGACTCTTATCTCTCCTCTTTTCCTCTCTATGGTCTCTTTAGCCAATAGGAAATTCCTGCATCGCTTATGCTGAACAAGGATATTCATGTGACTCACCAAACTCTGTCTTTAGCAATGTGCTACAAAAATTAACCACCTTATGTGACTACCTCCAAAATGAGACCTGACTCACAATCATAGATCATCATTCCACTGACTACATTCACCTGGTTATTTAGGCATGTTTCACAAAAAATAGCTAAAAACATGTCTTATCGTGTGAAACTGAGTTACTCACCCGGCTGGGTAGGCAACCAGTCCTGAACGTGGGTCACACGCCAAAGCACGATTCCCAGCGGAAGTGATTCCCAGGACTTTCTCCAATGTCACCTGTAGAATTACATGAAAAAAAAGTTTCTATGGGTACTACAAGATCATTAACATAACAAACAGCCTTTAATGTCACATGAAATGAAATAATATCATACAAGTTCTGCTTTTACATCGTAACATTATTTGAATGTTGTCTGAAATTTAATTTATATATTAAATATATAATACAAAATATTAAAAAATATCTCAAATATAAATTAAACTAATTTATAACTAAATTGGACATCTAATCAAAAAAAGCGAGAAATCACATAAAATGTACACAATTTCTTATGAAAAGAACCAAAATTACAAGAAAAAAACCCAGGAAAAACTAATTTTGTTGTGAGCAAAATTTCAGCCACTTAAATTACGTAAGTGTTCTATTATTATATTAGTGATTACAAAGTCTATAACTGCATGTAAATTATGTGATCGAAAAATAGACATCTTTTTAGTCAGTATGAGATGAGCAATTCAGCTGGTAAATTACAGTAGCACAACAAATTCACTTGGATGAAGACCTCTTGTAAAAATAGTTTATTATGCAAGACTTTGTTTAAAGAACCTGAGAGACTTTAAATGCCCAGAGCACAGAACGACTGCAAAGTGGTGTTGTCATCTTAAATGGAAATTATGAGCTAGACATTTTCCATGAGGCTTTGTTAAGTAGAGCTGAACTGCTCAAACTCAAGGCAACATGTTGAAGCACAAAACAAGCTTAAATATAAAATGCACAAATCTGCAAACAGTAAGCAGGCTAGGTAATGTTTCAATAGCATTTCCATTATAGTGTCCTCATTACAGTACAACTACATAAGCACTGACTAATTTATAACATGCTTAAAATGCAATTATTTGGTAAAACAATTACACAAAGTTGTTACTATTGTAATTAAAGATTTACATAATATGTATAAAATGAACACATAATAATGTCATACTATCATTCTAGCAAAACAATGAGGATTACACATGCACTATGTGTTTTCAGCATACCACATAAAAACCAGTTTGCTGAACATCTGCACCTGTCTTCAACATCTGATACCTTTATTCTATGCATTAAAACCTCTGCCAGATCACTTCTTCAAAGCAAGCATGGCCATATCCAAGCTGAGGACACTCTCTCACATCAATCATGGCCACTTTAAGTACAGGTCAACGGAGAAACGAAAGGAACAACACCTGGTTTATGGAAGTGGTCTCCTCTAAATCTGCCATCTTAGACCACTTCCTCACTGTATGGGTTTATAAGGACCCAAGTAGTCTTTCCATGCTGGTTTTTATCCCTCAAAAATACAGGTTTCAAGAAACCCATAAGCTGAAGTCAGCATTTGGACTTCAAATGCTACGTATGTACATTCATTATCCTACCGTAAGCTGAATGTAGACTACCACAATTTGTGCTGAACATGCCGATATAAAAACACTGTAATTGTGGTTGTTGCTTTGATTTATCATCTTTCCAAAGATGTTTTGACAGATATCCACTGTCTATTAGTGTCTCGGAGTGCTGGAACAACGGAAAAAGAGCTCGTTTTCAAATGCATGCTGTTTTTAAGCCATTTCTCGTTCAGCATCTCTAATGGGAATTTCTGAACCAACGGCTGTGTCATGCACTTTTCCAGAAACTTTCCTGCAATCGTTGTATGTCAGATCCTGGGAGAACAGCAAAGTCCTTGAGCCAGGAGTCAATGAACTGCACAGCACCTGGAGGAATGGCTTTGATTTTCATACAGTGTGTAAACCTTGGAAAATAGAGCCCAGTCTAAGAGCTGAACTGATATATAGTCTTACATAAAGCTCAGATCCCTTTGTCTGGATCCTGGACACTAGAGATTCCTCATACGCTTTAGGCAAAGAGAGAGACAGATCTGCTCTTTTGTATGAAACAAAGGCACCTTGACAGAGTCTTCTGCATAGCCCTTAAATGGTAGTATGTACAAGATATTGTCTCTAGAGCAGTGATCATCACACACTCTGATAGTACCACTGACATTTTTAATGCATTCAATTTAACTGCAGAAAGTGTCTTCTCTGATGAATGTACTATTGAATTTTTCTTTTCTTGTCTTTTTAATATGATTGTATATGCAACCATTCAGTAACCATACATATTTAAAATTGCTTATTAGCATTCTGGCACCACAATATGGCTTGGGTCCCTCCTTCTACTGAACAACATTTACCGTCAGCCAAGTGAAAAGCATAAATCTGATCACCAGGTAATAGCACACCTCTCCTTTAAAGGAACAGTTGACATAAAATTGAACATTTGCTGAAATAGTTTCACTCTCAGGCCATCCAAAATGTAGAAGAGTTTGTTTCTTCATTGGAACAGATTTGGAGAAATGTAGCAATTAAAGTGAAAAGCTACATGTATGTAATAAACAAATCCATCATTAGGACATTTTAAACCTCAAACTATTGCTTCTGATGAAAATATGGTCAAAATATAGAGTTCTCTATCCATAATATCAGAGAAATATGCACATTTTTGGGTGAACTAGCTATTCTTTTAATAATAAACTTTAATAATCCTTTAAAGTTTAATATGTGAGCTGGGGAATAAGTTGAGCAATAATACCAGTGATGCCTTAGCCAGCAGCACTATGAACGCCATAATATAGACTAGTAAAACATTCCATATAGACATGGATTTGGTTACTGAAAATGCATGTGCTAGTGTGAACAACAGTGTGTAATTTATGAGCAACAAATCATATGCAGCTGAGGTCTCGGTGTTATTCAAAGCGTTCATCTCAGTTGCAAAACGCTCTCAACAATCATAAAGTCCTGTGTATGGAAGGGAAGTACAGTCATCCAAGGGCCTGCAGCAGTAAACAGGCAATCTGAATGGAATGCAACAGTCAGGGATGACTACTCTGACACAATAATAGTTACAGTTACAATAACAAGAACAGTTGCATATATTCAAAGAATAAGAAATGCATTTCACACTTACAAGATGCGTGTATACAAAGTGTCGCATTTGAAACAATGACGAGTTTAGAGTTTGAGGTGGACAATCTACAATTATCCACACTTATCTGAGAAAATACTATACTCTTGGATATTATTTGTGCATTATATTTTCACAACATGCACTTGACCACTGCTTGATTTTTAAAATTATATTATATTATATAATTAATAAAAGGTGCAATTAACCCTAATGCCCAAACTGAAAAGGCACCCAATATAATATAATATAATATAATATAATACAATAAACTGACTGAGATAAACAAGAGACGTGCTGTATTTTCTCAGCAACATTACCAGTGTTTTAATGAATTCAGTGCCATTTACATTATTACATTACATTTTTATTGTACATTATATTTTCCCAGCATGCCGTTTACCAGGGCTTGAAATTATTTGTGACATGTGGCAAATATAGGTCAGTGAATTTTACAGTCTTCATGCTTGTTGCATTGTACTGACAGAGCCACAGTATGCCTTTGTAAAGTTTACATAAACCCTGGAAAGATTCTGACATGTTAGTGCCAATGCACTGTCACCTTGCATTAAACTGCAGAAAACCACAGCTATCCTGTAAGGATACATTTGCAGACAACTGCAGATACGTTACAGATTCCATACATGCTTCGTGTCATACAGTAGTGCACTGTACCTTATTACTGAGATTCTCTTTGTTGTTCCCAGCTTTACTTCTTCTCAGTTTGATGGAAGGCGAGCGGAGCAGATTTTTAATCCGACTTTTGATAGTTGTATTTTCCACTGTCATCTTGATTTGGTGTGCTGTTGAGTCAATGTTTCCAGCAAACAAACGGCGGGGCAGCTGAAGCCCTTCGCTCTACAATCACAGTCGGTAATCAGTTAAACGATACGCTTTTAAAACAAGCCATGATCTGTTCACAGCCTTGTATTTCATATACTAAACCAGTCCACCGTCATCACAAGCCACTATCGGAGCTTTAAATCCCGTGCGGCAGTCCTGTCGGTGAGAGACGCGCTCCTCACTAACGTCCATTTGTTAAAATGGACCATGTTTCGTGTTTAGAGTCAGCAGTTTGACGGCGAGCCGGTCTGAAAGCTCCGCGAATCACCTCCAGCCGTGATACCTTCACCGGTGCGATGTGTGTATTTAAAAATTCTACTACTGTAAAGACCAGGTTCATGAATATTAATTATGCAAGGCGACGTTTTTTTCAGTCAGCGTTTCTGATTGGCTAAAAGGCTGACGTCGGGAGGCGGACGGTAGGCAGCTGACCAATTAACGATTTCTGTTGTGGGCGAACGCTTGGCTCCTGAATATGAATGAAATGACGTGATATGATACCCTTGGAAGGGTACGAATTGGTGCGTGTCTGATCTAATTAATATTGAGATTTGCCTTAGCCATAGTATACATTAAATACACATCACGCATGACTACTAGGTGGACTATACTGCACATATGGGCGGTTGTGTGATACAGCAGTTTCCTTAAGGTGTAGACAATTCGTTTACTCAAGGAAAAGTGTTTATTTTGATGTTTGCAGATATTAGGACTAATAGTAGAACAGAAAATTATGGCATTATTATATTCAATTCCCCAGTTGGAAAATCCAGTTTGAGATATATCTCCGTTTTGCAACTTGGTAGCTGGTTTAAGCTGGTCCAAGCTCAAATGTACCATCTTGGATCAGCAATAGCATCTACTGCATAAATGCCCTTTGCATTTTACAACAATGGTTCCAATGTAAACACTGCATGGTTGCAATTCTCCAGTCTAGAGACCCATGTCATTCTGTGATATCCATGTAGATTTCCATGCACATAAACTTTGTAATATACATTTTCCAAGTACTCTAATTGAAAGACAACAAGGAGATGTCATAAAATCAGGGGCATGATGAACAATGAAGGGTATTTATGGCTGACAAATAAAGATTTATGAAGAACAAATTCAGCCGGCTGTACCATTCAGACTGGAAATAGCAGTAATTGAATGACAAATGCAACTGCTTAAAATTCAACAGATTTATCACTTCATTCCCTAACCCTTTGTTGGTAAAAAGGGTTAAAAAGGTTACTAACACTGACGAATTAACATTTAGGCTATTTGTTGGACTGAATTATGGCTGGTGCATACCTATAATTTTATACAAGTCTGCCATCTAGTGATTACTTAGGGGTTTTTTTTATTTCAACCGTAAACTCAACCTGACTAGCACACAGTATATGGCCACCTTTACAGCAATTGAAATTTAGATAGAACTCAATTGACATTTGAAACCGAGTCAGACATACACAGATACGAGATGCACCTTTTATTTATAACAAACAACTATATCAGTTACATTAATGGTTACAATATAGGAAATTATACACACACACAAAGCATGAAAACACAAGCACAAGAATATTAAAACATTAGATACATCAACTCACAATTGTGCAACTACACACGTGTGGGAGGTCTTTTAAAAGATCATTTTTTCATGTTTTTACTATACTGAGTTTTGTCCGTTCTGTCTTTGGAACCACCATGAAGTTGGATCACACTGGGCGGTTCCTCTGAAGGCCCTTCCAAATCTTGTTTCTTACCTACCTGTAAGACCTTTCTAACCCAGTTTGCCAACACAACCAGTTCACAGTGTCCTTGCTGCATGTGGAAAATTAAAGGATCAAGACATGCATTGAGACAGTACAGTCTCTGGGAGGCTTCAGAGAGCAGGTTGACCACCCATGCAACCCAGCAAACGTTTTTGCAATGATCCAAACTGAAGAAAATGATACAGGCGATGATGTGAAGCAGCTGCCCTGGCACCCAACAAACCAGGAAGTTGGCAATGAAAACCGCAATCAGCCAGATGCTCTTGTCCAGGCCTTGCATGTTGCCTGGGCCCCACTGTTGCCGTGACTGCTTCATCCGGGAAATGATCTTCACATAGGAGGGAATGATGAAGAGCAATGGGACAGAAACCTGAATGGGGTAATAGGACAGATGATTGTAGGTTGCTTCAGTGGTCCTGAACCTGGAGATCACCACTGCTCCACACACATGCATGCCATCCTTCCTGACCTAGTAGAGAATGTTAGGATAACTGAAATAGATGAAGAGGCCGGTGATGGCCCAGAGTAGAACCGAAACCAGTGCGCTGTTCCGAGGGGTCCGGATCATCCGGGACTCCAGAGGGAAGACGATTGCAAGGAAGCGGTCGGTGCTGATGGCGCAGATGAACATGGTACTAGACGTCAACCCGCCGAAGTATAGGATTTTCACCACCACGCAGAGTGAATGGCCAATTTTCCAGTGGTATTCGGAGCTAATGTAGACAGCCCAGGGTCCCATAGACGCCAGATAAGCAAGGTCACATAGAGCCAGGTTCAGTACACCTATGGACCCAATACTCCAAGGTTGGGATGGACGCAGGAAAGCCCACAGGCTCCAAAGGTTTCCAATTATTCCAAGAATGGAAAGTGTGTAAAAGACGAAGAGGTATGAAGTTGGAGGCATACATGCGGTTGGAGGGACAGTCCATGTAGGGAACCAAAGGAAGGGCCAAATCACTGGGGTAGGTGCAGTTCCAAGCCCAATAAGAACTGTTGTTTACTGCCGACATTTCTTATGCTTGGTCTATATTATTTTTAAGAGAAAAGAGCTAAATTAGTAACCTACCTCTTGTAAATGATTATTCTTAGCTTCCCAGCACCACTTTGGTCTGGATGCTAAACTTAAGCAGAATTTCAGTCTCATCTCATTCAACACATTAAGCAAAATATGCATTAAAGAATGGATGGATCTTACCTTGAGAAAGCTGAAAGAAGTTGGACTAGACCTATTTGTCAACTGCTGTATATGAGCCCTGATCCCTCCTTGAAATACATACATATTTGCTCTTGGGAGTTACGTGCAAGGTAAAGACCATGATAATTAACTGCTTCTGTAATTGTCTAAAGTCTCTATCAAATGTCAAATGAAACGCTTCTATTTTTTTGGACAACTTGTTAATAGCGACCAACTGATGGGCTACATTTCCCAAAAGCACCTTAAGCTTAAGTATGTAATAGTGACCATATGGTTATTTTAAGATCGCTGGGATTTGCTGATAACCATGTCCATTTAGCCAGTTTTGTTTCAATATCTTCCAACAGCCTTGTTGGAGTAACAAACAAACTGTTGTCTTTATTTATGTGAATAAAATATGCTTTAGTGAGTAAAATATGCTTTATGAACTTAAGCATGTTCATTTACATATCACTTTTCATCATAAAATTTTTGTATTATGTATTAAACAGCAGAATTTGCTCAACAGCTAGTTGGCAAATGTAAAATTACATTCTAATAAAAACTATCTACAAAAAACTCAACACATTTGAAGTCGAAGGAGCACATTTTAGACTAAGCCATGGTATAAAGAAGAATGAAAAGGACATCTTTTTAATCTTGTTTTTTTTTAAATCAACCAGAATGCCCCAAATCATGAATGTTAATGTACATTTTAAAAACATTAACTTTTCACAGACTTGTGTACATTTTTATTGACTCAGAAAGACACATTCATCTCTTTCTACAAAGAAGGTGAGAGAGCACTGATTTATAGCATATAAAAAAAAGAAGTATTTTAACAGAGTTCGCAGACTAACAAAAAGGAATCGATTTTACATATTTACAATAACCAAGAAAGGTTATATCAGCCAATATACAGACTTTTAACAAGCTAACATTTACAAAATAAACCAGTGTACCATTAAATATATACAAGAACATAAGCAGTGTGACTGCATCTCGTTTTATGTAGCTTTTAATGTTTCTATGTAGTTTGTCTGTACCTGTTTTATCTAAATATAAAGCAAAACAATTGCATAGTGATGACTACATTTTAAGCTCAAACTTGAAGTTAACCGCCTCTCTTGAAGTGACAATTGCGTTACAACACTAAAATGCTTCAGACATTGTAATTTATGTTGCTATTGAGGTGGGGAATATGAAAATAGGGTTTCACAACTAAAAGGCTCAAATGCAATAAACATACTGCACTCAAACTTCACCTATTACTTGCAAACCAAACAAAAAGACATAAGAATTAAAACTGCAGTACTAACACATCAGAATAAACCTCAGAAGTGTCATTCTTTTATTCCTAAGCTCCTAATGCTACTGTAATAAGTTTACTATTCCAAGACAACAATCCTATGTCCCAATATGCATATAGAAGAACCTTTTGAAAGGCACTCAACATAAGATATAAAGTTTCGTGTATATAAGCTAGCTTTTCTGTAACAAGAACACAGACTGTTTGTACTGAATTTAACATCTATTATTGCCTTAACATGCATTGATGTGATGGGTTTAATCAACAGTGGTGTAAGTTTCATCTAGATGCAAAGACAATGACATTTGCCTGATCTTATTAGCAGATAAATTCAAGGGTGAAGTGGCCTTACTGTTAAAAGTCACTGGGCAAAATTATTTATTCCTTAAAAGGTCACCTGGAAAACAGCCCTAATGATCCCACAAAATCCCCATCGCAAACAATTATGATCAGCTTCACCTTCACTGTGCTAAGGGAGAAACAATCCTATGTTTAACGATCAAGTAAATGTTTTCTTTTTCTTTTATTTTTGAACTCCAATGGGAAAGAAAAACATGCTCCAGTATGGAGGTTAGAATGAGTAAACGTCTTCTTTCACAACTATTGCACAAAGAGTGGATACACAATTGCTAGCAAAACCAGTCAGATACCTTGCTGGTCTGAGTGTTCAAAAAACAAAACAAAAAGTGAATGAAACAAAACATCTTTGGATTTAGCAGAGGCACAATAGGTGGTGCCCACGGCAGCAGGACTTACACAGCAAACAAACAATAAATACACTTTTAAAAAATCCTATTTTGTACATAAACATGTTAAACGTGAGCAGCAGCTATACCTGATTCATAGATAGGTAGATCACATTTGAGGTCTATGAACGTCTTCCTCATTTGAGTCCGGTTTTAAAACTGGGGAGCCGGTAACCTTATTCACGACAGCATCTTGAGCCTTTAACCCAAGAGGAACCAGTTTAGGCATTGGCCGCCATGCCACACTGGTCCCTTCATTGGCTAACTGACCTGATGCAGCTTCACATGCAGCTTTCATGTGCAACAGAGGTGGTAGAGTAGGGGC